ATTATTGATCATCAATTGGTCCGAGGCAAAGGTTGGGGCAATTCAAGTGCCCAATTTCTTGTCCATTGGAAATGGTAATCACCCGAGAAGGCGTCATGGGAAAAATATGAGGATCTATGACAATTCAAAGATCAAGTCCATGGTTACTTGAAGCTTTGTGGCGCCGCGGCCGTCGCCATTTTAAGTGGGGGAGAGTGTGCCGGCCTGCCAAATTCTCTACTGATTTTCCCGCCCAATGTGCTCAAATTCGAATCAACCATGGCTGCCCAAGTTCATGACCATATGCCAACATTTGAACCAGGTCAAAGTCAAGCATGCCATGCATTTAATGCAAAGGAGGTCCAACAACACATGACCGGGCGCGCACCTGATCAAAGGCTGCCCATGAAAGGGACAACATGCACAAGTCAAAGCAAAACAACCCATTTTGGGCAAGGACAAAGCTGGGCGCCCAAACTAGTTTTCCCCATTTAGTTAGGCAGCCCTTGTGGGTCTTCCTTTGTTGTGCAAGCCAAGTAGTGGCTGATTATTATATATACATGTATAAGCCCTTTGTCAAAGGCATCTCATACACTTTATAATTTCCCTTTGTATCAAGTAAATCCAGAAAATTGGCCTTGGCCTCCCAAACATTGTGTGCCTTTTACTTTATTGTTTTTCCACCACTTGTGTGTGTGTGCGCGCCTTAGCTTGAGCACGAGTTTGTGCTTGTTTCTTGGTTAGGACTGAAGCTTGGAGCAGCATATAGGCTGTCCAGTTGTCCGCACGTAGCTTACTTTAGTTAAGCCCGTGACAGCCTGTTTCGTAGGAAATAAGTTTTTGAACAGTAGGAAATAAGAACATTAGCTTTTTTTGTTTTCCTAATTCGTCTTCCTACTTTTAGTCTGATATTGGTAACTTGGAGCTGAGAAACTTAAGGGATTTAACGCAAATTGACTACTGATGAGGGAAGGGGCTCAATATGAATTGGAAATATATTTACTTTACACCATTAAATAACCCAATTAAGAGCCATCAAAATCAATTAGATTCTACCATCTTCCCACCCATGGTGACGGGATGATCCTACCCCAGGTGATACTGCAAAATACTATCAATAAACGATGGTGGTGCTTTCATTACAATCTGGAAAATAATCAATGGAAGCAAGAGGAATGCTCAACTCTATTCATCAGCATTTATCTTCAGGTCTATGACTGTATACTCTCTGCTGTTTGGCGGAGACAAACTTACCTAATTCAATAAGCGTCATTGATGTTTATAGTTATGCTAAATTGCATACATACTGTGGGTAACCACGAATTCTTGGTGCGAGTTAAATAGCTTTTTCAATGTTAGGATTGAGAGTGTTTTATGTATAGATGTTATTTCAGTGAACCTTAAGCTGTAGTTTGACATCTGAAATATAGATCAAGACGTATTAGGAGCTCATTTTGGTACCTTCATCTTTGATTTGTTTTGCAGCATTTGTGGCCAAATTCATGAGCATCTACAAGAGTTTTCTCATTTCAACATTTGGCTAGAATAGGTGTGAAGTACTATGGAACTATTCGGCAGGAGGAAGAACTTTTTTTGTTCCATTGTACCAATCTCCTATGTGTTTTAATTTTCTTGGGGCGTGTAGTCGTGATTAGGTATTATTGTACCTGAATTATATGCCAATTTGATCAAGTATCTTATTTCTCTTACCTTGATATTCTATCAGAAGAGGGCTTCACAG